GGTAAGAGAAATAATTAGCAAAGGCACAAACAAGAAACAAAATCAGAGCAAAGAATCAGTGTGTTCTCCTGAAACTTCATACTTTTATTCAGAACAAGGAACCAAAACAGTTTAGATCTCTCCAGTCTGTCTGTTAAAGGTTTTTGCAAAGTATACTTTTTGACATAACTTGTTTTGAAGGGTTTTTGAAGGTGTGTTCACTAATAACTGCTTCATGCTGTCAAAAAGAAAATTGCAGCTCTGACGACTCTAAAGTGATAGTTTGCTTTGACACAGGGTTCTGTGGAGTTGTTCTCAGTGGCAGTATCTTACCTGCAGCAGACAGGGGTCAGGGTGTTATCAGTTTGGAGAATCAGAGGGACAACATTATAGGGCCATTGTGCTAACAGCTAAAGCAGATTTCTGCTGACTTTAAACAACTCCAAGCTTGAAAAATTCAGATCAGTTCACGGTTAATAATTACAAATCATTAAAAACTACGTAAACTAGTCCTTTTGAGGTCAGAATTTACACTTTGGATCAAACTAGATTTTGAGTTTTGCTCATGTGACTGACAAATAAAACAGTGCAGTGATTCATTTTGATTTAAATAATATATTGCTGATACTATAATACAGATATGCAGATGATTGTTTTAAATGTTGTTCTCTCTCATTTACATAAAGTAGGTTGCTTTATTTAGTACATTGACAGTAATTAGGATCTAATGAATTTCGTAGTCAAAGAATTTAATGTTTTATAGATTAAAAGGTCAAATAAAATCAAATTTAAGAATATTTTCTTGTTTTTCTTTGAGGAACACAATTCCATAAAACATTTTAGAGGCTCATGTCTCTGATTTAAAGGTTTAATGACATGGGTCATATTTGATTTTGAGTAAAATTCTTAAAATGGGTTAACATTTACTGTCTGTGGTTGATGCAACGACACCACAGTTTGCTATGATACATGTTCACTGTTAGAACATGTTAGCTGTGCTAGAACATGTTCACATGTTTCTGTTCACTCTGTTCACTCTGCTCACGTATGATTGTGCAGCTACCCATCCAGGCTGTCACATTGTAAAGTTTGCAGATGATACAGCGGTGGTGGGATGCATCACAAACAATGATGAGTCCAGCTAGGACTCAGGCAGGAGGTGGAACACCTGGAGAGCTGGTGCAGGAAGAACAACCTTCACATCAATGTGAAGAAGACGAAGGAGATGGTCGTGGACTTCAGAAGGAACTTGGGTGTACACATGAATGACAACCTCAGCTGGAGCAACAACACCACCAGCCTGATCAAGAAAGCTCATCAGAGACTCTACTTCCTCAGACGGCTGAGGTGAGCTGGTCTGGAAAGCTCAGTCCTCACCTCCTTCTACAGGTGTGCAGTGGAGAGCATCCTGTGCTCCAGCATCAACGTGTGGCATGGAGGCTGCACAGCTGCAGAAAGAAAAGCTTTGCAGAGAGTGGTGAAGGCTGCACAGAAGATGTTGGAGTCAGTCTCCGCACCATCACAGACATCTACACCTCCAGATGCAGGAAGAGGGCCACCTGCATCATGAAGGACCCCACTCACCCAGCACACACACTTTTTGCCCCGCTCCCCTCAGGAAGGAGGTTGAGGAGCATTAAGTGTAGAACCACTAGACTGAGGAACAGCTTCTACCCTGAGGCTGTTAGACTCATGAATCTCTAACCAGAATAATCACTGTGAAAAATCACATCATGTTGCTGCTGATCTGTTTCATGTTGCTGCTGATCTGTTTCATGTTGCTGCTGATCTGTTTCATGTTGCTGCTGATCTGTTTCATGTTGCTGTGTTCATTCGTGCTCATCTGCTCACACAGACTCAAGTTCGTGCTGCTGTTTGACGTAATGTTTTTATGCTACTAATGCTTAGTGTGTTTTCAGTTAACGTTTTTCTTAGTTCATATCTTAGATCTTATTAATGTTTTTCTTTTACATTTTAATACTTTTGTTGGATGGAACTGGGACCCTGTGGACACAATGTCATTCCACCACATGTACCACATGTGGTGGAATAACAAATATATAGTCTTGAATCTTGAACATGATAGGACACCTAGTTAATGTTGTTTTGTTCATGTTTGTTGTGCTGTACTTTTTGCTATAGGTAAAATTTGAGAAAAAAAAATCAAAGAAGAGCTGTAAGACCCAAAGCGAGGTTACGTTCACAATGTTTATCTGTGAAAATGGAAGCAAAAAAACTTGCAGAACTTGAAGAAATGCTGGAATATGTTGTACGTCTAATGGATATTAAATCACACAACTGAAAGCTCAGGAATCAAGTGAAGACATTTTTAGATGAGGGTTCAGAACACAAGGATGACGAGCCCAAAGACCAGGTGGGCAACGCTGAACGGTTAAAACAGACTGACCCAAGTTCTGGTCATTCGAATGTAGAATTTGTGGATTTAGCCGTGTATTAATCAGAATTTCTGTTTCGAGAGCGTAAAGGGCAATGCTCCGTGTAAATCAGGTAGAAGGAGATTGTTGTTAAGTATCGCAATTAGTGAGGAGGCGCTAGCATAAATGATTGACTACCTTTGTCACATAGTTTTTATTTTAATTTTGTTGATTTCCTTGCCTCTTTTATTTCTGTAGCCAACATTGCACTGAATATATAGGCTGGTTGTGTTTGGAACAATCTTGCCTGTTGTTAAAAACAGGAGAATAATAGGAACCAGTAATATAATGGATAATAGGTCACCCAACTTTGGGATGTATTTTCATGGCAGAGTGAAAGTAACCAAATCAGATGAACTGTCTCGTCTTTCATTCAGGAAGGTGACGAATGAAACACCTGCTGTAGATTTGGGTCAGTTTTCAATTATTTGCAACACCCTGAACCATTTCGCCCGCAGGCTAACAGTACTCATGCTCTGCTAACTCATTGGGATCCTTTGTTTGTTTGGCACCGATGACATTACTCTTCCGGAGTGATTACAGAAAATACCACAAAGACCCGAGTAATTGTATACTGTACATCTTTTATAATGAATTCAATTTGTTTGTGAATTAATAAAAATGTGAGACTCTGACAAGAACCTTTTATGACTTCTTTTCAATTTACGTTGGCCTCAAAAGATTTCATTTCACATTTAACACCGAACCCCCTCAGCTTCATAAAATATATCTTGGACTTAAAAGCTTAAAGGGTTTTGTAGATACTAGATCATTAATGAGTATTTCCATTAACTTACTACTCTCACAATTATTATCATGGTTTTTTTTTAAGTAAACCAACTCTGCATCAAAAAACAAGCAACTTAATCAACCTTTTAGAGCATTTGGTGGATCATTAAACTAAATAGTTCCCAACCCTAGACCCTGAGGGACACCATCCTGAATGTTTTAGTTGTTTATCTGCTCCATCACACATGATTTGAATGAAAAAGTGATTAACAGGCTTCTGCAGAACTTGAGGAAGTAATTAAACCCCTGAATCAGGTGTGTTGGAGCAGAGCAACAACTAAAACATGCAGGATGGTGTTCCTCAAGGACCAGAGTTGGGAACCACTGCGTCTAAAAAAACTACAGAAGTTTATTTTTAATTAAAAGACATAAAAAATGTTGTTGTTTTTTCACCATTTTGCATTTGTCAAATACATATTTGGCGAGATGAGAGCAAATGCAAACCCAAGAGTGGTGCTTCATGCACACTTTGAATTTTACACAAATTGAAATCTACTTTGAACGGTGCAACAGAAAATGTGATCATCTCTGTGTTCACAGAAAGAAAACACGATTCAAAGTCTGAGACTTTGTGAAGAAAGTTCTTGACCTTGCTGGTGAATGAGTGACTCATGTTTGTCGTCACACAGTAACTAAAAGCAAATACAATGGGTTCAGTGGGTCTGGGTTTTGCTGAGACAGAACCTCCTGGTCTTTGCACAGCGCAGTAATCAGATCATTTGGACTCCAGGCTCAGTTGACTGTAAGTCGGGGTGGTCGCAGAGGAAAACATCACTCATGTTTTAAGTAAAACAAACAGTCTGTAAAAGCTGGTTAAACAAGTGTGCAGCAGCAAGGGAAGCACAATACAAGTCATGATGATCAGCCATGTTTGGACTTCTTCAAGCATCTTTCACTCCTGCTTTCCTGCAGGCAGATCTTATACTTCTGGCTTTTTTTGTATTTTCAGAAAGCAAAATTTATCCTGACCAATAAAGTCCATGCTCAATAATCCAAGAATATCCAGGTTTTTACAATTTCTCCTGCTTTTATACAGAAGTTGTGCTCCTTCACTCAATGAAAGTTAGCTGTTACTTGATCAAAGTCATCAAGCAGCAGCCACAACATTCAACCAAATTCATTCCCCATCATTCTTTCCTTTCTCCATCTTGAGCCGTACTTGCATCGTCTGCAACTTGGATCAGAGCAGTCCTCTCCTGTCATTAAAAACACTGTGGTTTCAACTGTTTAAAGACCCAGATATATGGAGAATGCGTTATGCCTACATGCAAAACCGTCAGATCTTGCATTCACATAAACAGCCTTGATTCACTAAAGCAGGTGCATTATATACACAAATTCTGTCTCAATCCAATAGATTAAGACAATTGATGGCTTCAAACAAAAGACAATGTGCCTCATTGTGTCATCAAAGAAGCTGTGAAGTGCTGTGAAGCTGTCCCAACAAGTGTGCTCACAAATTATTGTTGTTGGTTTTTTGAAAAGTTACATTATCACTTTATCTTTAAGATAAAGTTTCATAAAGGCAGAACAAGAAACAGCGTTGAGCAATAGAAGGAAAAAGCTAAATGTGGAGTACTCGTTTCTCGTTTCATTCTGGATCTGAGTGGGTAAACGTCATATTATGGTTCATAACTTCACCCACACATGGTTAGGGGAAAGCCGCAAGGGAGAGAAAGCAAGCAAAAAACACAAGTCCTGAGCTGGAGTAGGTCAGTGGAGCAGCTGGACACTTGAGCCTTTAGGCAACAATGGACAGAGAGCACACACAGGAGACGAACTGAGACAGTACTTTACCATATTTCAAGGAGTTTCTCCTCTACCAGGCAGAAGTATTTTTCATTTTTTGCTGTTGTTGATCCTCTCTAGACAGCACCACCTGGCTGTATGAGCCTTTGCCATGTTCAGTGTATCAACAGCAGAGGCTCCCCAGGTCCATCATGACAGCCGGTTGTCTCCACAGAGAAGTCAGATCCATTCCTTACAAACGTCGAGCATGTTGCACACAGAGACACACACGCATCGTCAAGCTGCCTGTTGATCCTTCAGCTCCTCTTTTACTTTTCTTTCTGGTTCCTCTGAGTGTTTGGGAGGGTGGGGGGGTAGAGAAAAAAGGGGAGGGAGAACTTGTGTGAAGGGGGGGAGGAGAAAAGCGTTCCCTTTCAGAGGAAAATCCCCCTCCAGGCTTTTCAGAGCTTCTTTGCTTCCTCCCTCTCTCCAGCACACCCACAAACACAACAATATGTCACAATCTGAAAACACAAAGCACTCACTCACACACTCCCTCGCTGTGCTCTGTCTGTTGCTGTACTCCATGCAACAATCCCAACATTTCTACATCTCATTCCACCATAAACAGCTCACGAAGACGCACGCGCAGTGTTTTTGGCTGCACAAACCCCAGCCCCTCATTTTCAGCCCCTTTCTTTCTCCCTTTTTTAATCACTGGGAGCTTTCAGAAGTTTAAGTCAGTCTTTCTTCTTGCTTCTTTTACTTCATAGACTTCCCTCGTCTGCTCCAGGCTCTCTCATTTCCTCTCTTCAGCAATTACCTTCCGGAAGACTGCCCAAGAGTTTCACTCAAGTCAAAAGCACAAACTGAGGGATTCCCTGCAGTGGTCAGTAAACCTGCACAGAAGATCACAAGAATGACTATATCTTCTGAAACTTTGTTTACATGAGGTCTGAAAATGAAAAGTGCAGAGAGGGCGTGCAGGAAAATGAATCCCAGGACGTGCTGCAGGAAACGAGATTCATTATTGTGGCATTCCTTCAGGATAAAGATTGACAGGGCAGGGTTTATTTCTGCCGGCTGAGGACCTGAGAATCCATGTGACCCTGGAGGTTTAGACAAGCAGCTAACAGCTGGTCTCCACCTCAGCTTGTTTATTCACTGAAATTCCAGAAATTACAAGGAAGTCTGGGAATATCTTCACCACGAGGAGACAACACAGAGCACACGTTTCTTTAATTCAGTCAGATCAGGTTTTTACTGGAAATATTGAAAGAAACCTTCTCCTCAGCTCCCCTCTGCAGTCTGTACAATATTCCTGACATGGCTTGCTTCCATTAAGAGAAGACCCCACTAATCCTTTTTTCAACGTGTAGCTTGTGTGCGTTTTTCTTAAAATGTAATCTGGTTCTTCTGTTTGCTTCAGTATCGGCTTCATCCCTTTTCACATCGATTGCAATGTGGTTCTCAAAGCAATACAAAAGTCTGGCAAGTTTTTTTTCTTGGACTCTTCCAGCGGTTGTGAAACAATTTGGAACTCTGCAAGAGCCATATAAAATAACAACAAAGGTCAGGGTGAGGTCAGTTTTGTAGTGGTTTAGGAAACTGCATGTGCAATCTTACCAGGAGACATGATAATAATATTAATAATGTCATCACTATGTTTCCATACAATGGCAAAATTAGTCTCTGCATTTAACACAAACACCACCGGGTGGTGCAGTGGGCAGCTATTGAAAGCGCCCGGGGGGCATTTTGGGGATGAGGTGTGCTGCCCAGAGACACCACGTGGTATGCAGTGACCAGGGATCGAACCTGGGACTTTCGGGTCCCAAGCACACCATCTCGGCCCCCATAACTCTGTTGCAGAAAAAAGAGAAGAGCAATTTTCAGGTTGAAGCTTTGATGAGACTGACTTTTGATGGAGTATGTGTGGTTGAATGGTCAGAGCATCCACCAATAAGAGAGTTGGGGGTTCAATTCCACCAATGTGTCAAAGTGTCCTGATCAAGACACTGAATGCCATCTGTGTACAAATATGATCTAAAGCACCGATTAGTCTCTATAGCATAATTTAATCAGATTAGCTTTGCAGATATGTAGTAGATGTAGCTCTTTGTGTGTGAATGGATTAATGAGGGCACAGATTAAGTTGTAAAGCACTTTGAGTAGCCTGATTGGATAGAAAGGCACTATACATATAATTCATTTACTAGTCGCTTTGCCATTGATAAGTGCGACTCCTTTCAGCTCTGATCTTGTTTCCCCGCTCTGTGAGCAGGATCGTCAATGCAAAGTAAGTGGGATCGTAACTGGTCATTGTGTTTGAGCCACTCCTCCCATTGTGGTCCTTAATTGTTCTTTAATTGGATTTCTGTTTATGTAGCTTTTCCCAGCATGGCTTATACTGTAAGTCCCGGTGTAGCAATGCTGCACCATCATCTCAGATATCGCTCCGTGAATGCGTTTATTCCTTGTGGCGCCATCCGTCAACACGATGAGGAAGTGAAGGTTCAGATGTAGTTTGCAGTTTGGAGGGTCATCCAGTGACCTAGCTCCGCTGACCCATTGACGACTGCTGTCTGCTTATATCAAAATCAGCACCTCGAAGTAGTCTGCTTGAAACCTCAAACATGATGGTCCCACACACCAGGCTGAGTGGGGATGGGCACCAGCAATGGGAAGGCCCTGAACTGGTGCAGTCCATTGTGGTGAAGAGGGAGCTGAGCTGTAAAGCAAAGCGCTCTGTTTACATGTCAGTCTATGCTCCTACCCGCACTTGTGGCAATGAACTCTGGGTAGTGACCGAAAGAATGAGATCGTGGATACAGGCAATTGAAATGAGTTTCCTCAGCAGGGTAGCTGGACTCTCCTGAAGAGCTAGGAGAGGTGGCCGTGGAAAGAGAGGTCTGGGCCTCCCTGCTCAAGCGGCTGCCCTTGCAACCCGACCTCGGAATAAGCAGAAGATAATGGATGGATGGTTGCTTATGCTTTTAAACTGTTGACCAGGGTTCATTTAGCCAACAATCCTAAATTTATTTCTGTTTGGTGCTGGCGTATAGGTATACTGTTCAGTTAGTTAATTGCAGCTTCTTTTGGCTCCAAGTAAGCCTATAAACCCCACAAATAAATATGCATTAGCCAATGTGAATTTTGCTGAGTGACCAAATTGATTTGGGCCTTTAATCCTGCTGGGCAAATACCTTGGCCCAAATACAGCTTGAATAGCTTCCCAGAAATGATCTGAGCACTCTTGCTTAATTGTTTGCTTCATTTGAACTTGTTTTTTTTTTACATCTGTGATAAACCCTAAGTTTTGGCTAGCAGTCAAAGTCGAGAACAATCGAGGCTGCCTTCCCTCCAGGATGAAAGCCGGCCACAGTGGGTCAACGCTCAGTTTTGTCCCCCTCCCTTCTGCCTCCTCCTCAGCCTTACATGAAATCCAGATGGGCTATCCATCCGAAGCAGCAGGAGACACATCTTTGCTGGATGAATCAGTGAATGAGAAGATTTGAGAGGCATAACAAGCATGCACACAGCGAACCAGACATAACCAGACAGAGAAATAAACAAAGAGATGAAGCTTTACACCAGAAATATCGCCCCACAGGAAACCTGCAGCACACACCCATGCCGGTTTGTTAAGCACCCATGTAAATATGTACGTTGTCCACATTTGATCACTCAGACATAAACACATTCATAAACATTTCTATACAAAAACACACAACCTAGCTCTGTATTAATTTCCTCATCTAATCCTCCCCCATCAGAGATCAAGCCGCAGGGCGAGTGCATTTAGCATGATTCACTTCAAAGCAGCATTGGCCCACATGCAGACTTAGACACAGCAACATCCAGCTTTGATTGTCTATAAAACATGAGTCAGGCTGTGAGTACATATCTCAGCCTGCAATAAAATGGTGGGAACACACCAACTTGCTTCTTACAAATCAAACCGCAGCATCACTTCTTGGATCAATTACTTGAATACATTTTTTTCTCTGTGGGGCTTCTTTAATTAGCTTTATGGCTACAGGTTGTTTACATCCAGCACAGGAGGGTAGAGGTGTAGGGAGTGTTTGCTGGCTTCGGAAGGCAGCTGGATGTTTAATAGATGTCCCAGTGGCCTTCATAAGAAGTGTTCTTTCTAAGGAATGAATGTCTGGGCAGCGTATAAACGTCATCGCTCATATCTCGATGGGACAAGATGAAAGTCTGAAGGAGAGTACAAACAGGGGATCTGTCTCGCCTCGTTATGCTTTCTCAGGATCAGCACCCTTATCAGTGTCTGGTGATCTGCTCCTGCCGACTGTGACATAATTTCCTGCTGGCCTCTTGCATGTCAAGATTAACGGGTGTGGGAGGTGGAGGGGTGGACCAAGAGCTTGTGATCTGACATTTTTGTTCTTTTAATAAAAAGAGGAAACCAGGTCCTCTCTTTCAAATCTGTCCACGCTGCAGATGTGTTTGGAGGACGTGGGGTTCTGTAAAAGTAGATTTCAGGCATGCTTGAACACTGTTAGAAAGCACGAGCTGCTCCACGGCTACATTCCAGATGTCACTGGGGCTTTGCATGTTTGCATTTGTCTCTGCTTGATGTTCGTTTTGCATTCAGGTGACACTGTCGGATCAGTTTTGGCCTTAAATGTTCTAGCTGTTCATTTCCTAAGTAATTGTAAACCCATCAGTCTTTTGAGCTCCATATAACACGCTCAGTTTTTACAGCTAATAAAAGACGAGGCAGATGCCCTTCCAACTTTTTTAATTGCTTTCCATCTGTCCCACTTTAACACATTGATTCCCACTGAGGTTTTTTTAAATGAGAAATCACATTCTAATACAGTGAGGAAATCCTACAGGGACGAAAACACATCCCTTCAATAACAAGCTGTCATTCTATAAACATATCTGTTCCTTACTAAAACATTAAGCATTGACAATAAGTTTACATCCCATTTTATGCAATTCTCATGTGTCCCAAATCATATTTAGAACCAACCCTCACTGGGAAACAGTTTATACTGCAGAGTTACCTCACACCAACGTGTGAGGTAACTAAATGAGCTAAATGAACTCTACAGAAGTGTAATATAGTGCAAAAAGCCCCACTGAGAACATCCTTAGGTTTTTGCAAAGCGTCTTTAATTGAAAAGTGTTTGTCTAAATTCTTATTAAACCCACCTCTTAATCCATAAAACATATTTACACCACATTCACTGGTTGAAAAACATGCAAGCATTTTGCTAACCTATGATTTAATGTTGGTTTATAGAGACAGCTTTTATTTTCAATACAAAATGTAGTCTCAAAGACTACATGCATTGTT